TACCGACCTCATCGTGATACAGTAGCTACATCACGAAGACTAGCGATGAGATAGAGTAATGGGGTTGGTCTGGCAAAAAGTATCCATCTGTGCGTGTGGCGACATGACGGGGCCTAAACTTAACAACAGACAGCTTCACTGAATAACTAGACATGCAAGTTTCTTTCTTCTGTTTCAACCTGCCAGTCAAAGCCGTTACCGGTGCGTGAATGCGGCGAAGAGTACAATATCACAGGGCCGCGCTCGAGTGCGTAAGAGGGAACTGGTTTTCGACCCCTGGGATTCGCTCTTGTGTTCTGCTTACCTGCCACCTGCATGCGAGGCCTCTCGTGTGTCAGGAAGTCGAAACACCTGTGTTTTTTAAGATCTCATGTGCGTATGTACGGGAGGATACCTTACTAACTAGAGCGGTTCACAAGTGTCGCTCTGACAGCTCAGAGCTGGTGTTTTCCGTGCGAATTTGAGGCGGTCGACCCTGTCTTTCAGTTAACGTCTCTTAGCATTTAAATCCTCCATTTTCACACTCACCTTTGATAGGAATCTTCCGGCATCTAAAAATCACAAACTTTGTCAACTATCTAACATATTTTTTAACTTACACTTATTAAGGCTTTCATTTGGCAAATAATTTGTTCCATTTTGTACGCCACTCGAATTATTAAAGCAGGCTTTCAGAACCCAAAATGCCTACTTGTCCTTTCTGGTCTATTTTTTTCGGTCTCTTTTCTCCCTCTACTTTTTCTCCTTATCTCCTTAATTATGTCCTGTTTTCTGTGCCTTGCGTAGGCGGGCGCAGTTGGTGGTATTATCATCGACAGCACTGCGGGCACCTCAGCCACTAAGCACCAACTCTTCTCCATGTCTGGTGACGCCCCCGACGATCACTCGAATGGCACTCTAATCAACCTGCCCTTTGTGTTCCTCTTCAACGAGGAGGGTGAAACCCTGCGCTCAGCAATGGCTCAGCGTTGGAGGACGAGCCGGCAGCCAGCCATTGGACTTATT